TGGAGCCATTTGTCATTTCTAGAATGTCCTCATTTATCTTTTCAGATACTGCTCCAACCCTATTCTCCATTCTCCTTGGCCTTCAAGGATGCCAGTACACCTTAGATCTTCTATTGCATTCCATGCATCATCTTTCATTTCTGTTTTCTATCCTTTTCCTGCATAGCACTTCAATCTATTTCTTTCTGGCCTGTCTTTCAATTCACTATTCCTTCCTCCAACTCTATCAGATCTATTGTAAAACTCATACTGAATTCTACTTTGATATATGTCAGTTCTAGAATTTCTATTGTCTTTTGATATATTCAACTCTCTACTAGAAGTCTCCAAATTGTCTTCTAATTTCTTAAAAGGTATTAATGTCTTTATTTTGGAGCCATCTGTGTTTAGTCATTCCAGTGTCTGTCTTCACGGTAGGTCTATCTTTACTGTCTATCCCCTTGGTTTTCAAACATGTGGGTTAGATCTGCTTATGACAAATCATAGAGCCAGTTTCAGTTATGGTTCAAATGATGCACCTCCACTGTTCTCCCAGACTGGTCTGCTCACATACCAGTGGGCACCTGCTTGCAGTGCCACTGCCCACCTGATGTGCTGATTTTGCAGCATGCTGCCAGTCTCCATGGACAGGGGTGCGCTGGACTAGTTTTTATAGTTACAAAATTACACATATCTGCACTCAGTCATGGCTCTTATTGCCTGATAAAGCACATGGTGGCCAAGACTAGAAATCTATAAACTTTCAAGTCTTCTTCCCTCCTCCTCTCCAGCTTACTCAAGCACTGATCAGTTTATTTCACTCCACCATGCTAAGCATTCATCTTCAGGTTTTCACTCTGTAACCTCCATGAGTACATCTAAATCTTGGTCATTTTTTTAAGGTTCCGCTCGTCAAAATGGTATTGCTGGATTAACACACCATTTGAAGACTTTGGTACATATTACACCAAACTGCATTTTGGAAAAGAAGTGCCAACGGGTATACCTGCTAGCAGTGTTTTTGTTGTTGCTGATGTTTGCACTGTAGGCAGTGTTTTTAAAAAGCTTTTACACTGAGTTGTATTTTGGAGACAGGTAATCAAAATGAACCTTTTATTTCAAGTATTTTAGATTTCTTTTTAATGAATTATCTGTCCTCAAAATAATTACTAAAAATTCATCATTAAAAAAAAATCTGTGAAGCAGTTTCTTCCATACCTAAAAAAGGAGGTTTGGAGAAAACTCTAGAGATAAAAAGTGACCACTTTTAGGATGGTTAGGATCTGCACTATGCAAAGCTAAGCAACATCTATAGAATAAAAACTTCTTTAAATATTTATTTCCCATGGGGTTTGGCAAATGGCAAGTTAATTCCAGTTTACTGCATACAATCACTCTAGCAATCCAACAGAACTTTCCAGAATTCTAAGAAATGCCAAGTAGATTGATGTTGTTTTCTCAACACCAAAACAAGCAGCAGCAGATGTGACTCTCAAATCCAGCCAGCAAACTGGATTTAATTCTCTGCATACAAGTAACACATGTTTACCAAGAGACATCCAAAGATTCAGCAACCCTAATCTTTACTTGTTTCTTTTGGAGATTTATTTTTCTTCTGGAGACTTACTGAGACTCAAGATCACCAATTCAAAACTCATTACATCTGACATCAGTTGAGATAAGAGCATCATTTTCAATTAGTATTGGCATTTTATAGAGAATAAAATTCCAAGGACCCAGGCAATAAAAGTGATGATAAATTCAGACAGTCATGCAAAGACCACAGCTCTATTGATTCAGATGTTGACAAAAGTGACTTGGGGAAAAGGAAAGATAGGGACATTCCCAGTGTACACAGAGTTGGCTTCTTCTCCCCTTGGCACGAGAGCTAGCAGTCATGGGAAGTCTCCCACCTGTTGCAAAACTCAAGATAATACCTGTGGTCCACACCATCACTCACACACAACCCTGTAAATTCTCCATGTGTGTACTGTTGTTTTTCCTTTAAGCCACCTGATACTGAATGATTATTTGTCTGACCAGAGAAGAGCCCCGAGTATGGGGGGGGGGGGAGGGGTTTCCCTTCTGTACCTCAACAAAGGCTCGGGCCCCTTGCACCTGAGCACTCGCAGCAGGACAGCAGTGTTTCTGGGCTACTATTCATCCATCATGCCTACATGCACGTCAGGTTTTCACTGAAGTCTCAGACTGGGTGAGGCTGTGGCATTTTATGAAACTGACCAAAAACAAGAAAAACGTCAGCAAGAAGTTGGAGGGGGAGGGACCTATTGAAAATATAAAAATGTCAAGGAGACAAAGCAGGAGACAGCCGGAGGGACTCTTGAATCTGTGGGAAGTTCCCACAGCTAAGAGGCAGGCTGGGCACAAATGAAGGCAGGTGGGCACCAGAGCTCTTTATTACACTACCCAGTTTTAAGGTACATTAAGATATACTTGATTTAGAGGTGAAATAAATTACAAAAGTGTTGGCCCTCCCTGGAGGTGCAATGGGTTAGGGCACAGCACGGCAAGCCAGCCGCAGCCGCTTCAGTGCGAGTTAGATCCCTGCCCCAAAGGTGACCCACAAGGGCGCGGCAGACCTCTCCTGACCCGCCCACTGCTCCCCTCAGCAGTGGACTTCATCAGTCAGCCTGTTCTGCTCCCCACTCTGTCTCTGGTGAAGCCTCTCACCACTCCTGCACATCTGGCCTGTACCCCAGTTCTGTGTGCATAAATAAATCTTTAACAACAACAACAAAAAAAAAACTGTCAAGGAAACAAGACAACAGCAGCCCATTCAGTGCTTAGCAGTGCCGGTTCACAGCTGGAACACATCAGCACCTCTAAAGGAACTGAGTTCTATTAAATAAATGACCTTCAGGGACGGGACCAGGGGACTGACTCAATTTAAGAAGTCACAAGGAGAAATGTACCTTGGAGCAAAACCGAAACACTCCGTTATTTGCAGTTCAATTCATATTCTTCCCAGATGGCAATCTCCCCCAAATGGTTGTTCAGTATACACTAACAGCACTAGGAGAGTTAGACACCTCGACCTGAAACCTGAACAGTCATAGGCACACCAAGACCAATCACTCTGGACAGTCCTGACCGCCAGGGTCAGGACTCTACAGTCAAACCGTATTTCCAAGATATGACCATCCCACCACGATACAGATCCACTCTGTAAGTTCCTCATGCCCACCTTCAAGCACTTACCTCCCTGGTGGCACAGGGGCTAAAGACAGCACTACCAAGCTACTGGCAGTCACCACAGCACAGGTTCGATTCCTGGCCTGCCAGGGATCTGACCCACAGAAAGACTCGGCAGACCACCTCTGCCTCATCTGCGGCTCCCCTCGGCAGTGTATTTCAGTCCATCTGCCTGTTCTGCTCCCCCCCCTCTGGTGAACCCTCTCACTCCCTGCACCTCTGTCCTACAGCTCAGTGGTTGTATGGATAAGGAAATCTTTAAAAAAAAAAAAAAAAAGCTGCATAGGCCCTCCCTGGTGGCACAGCAAGTTAAAGTACACCACTAAGAAGCTAAAGCCACTTCAGCATGAGTTCGATCCCCAGCCCTGGAGGTGACCCACATAGTGCAACAGACTTCTAACCCGCCTGCTGCTCCCCTCAGCAGTGTACTTCGTTAAGTTGGCCTGTTCTGCTCCCCACTGTCTCTGGTGAATCCTCTCACCGACCCTGCACTTCTGGCCTATACCCCAGTTCTGTATGCAGAGATAAATAAATCTAAAAAAAAAAAAAAAAAAAGCAGCAGACTCTCTGTAGTTTCCTTCTATAATAATCACACGCTCTAGTTTTCAATCCACCTTACCGATAGATTTAAGAAATACAGTCTGTCACATTTGGAAAATAGTTTCCTCTTGGAAAATTCCACAGTCACTTACCAGGCCTAGGCTGACCACACCAGTTTGGTGCTGACGCCTTGAAGAACACTTTTAAATCTAGTCCCAAACTGCACCTGCAAGCGTTTCAGAGTAACTAGAGACTTGATTCATTTGGGGAAAGAGGCCATGAGCCTAGACTCGGTCCCGTGGTTTCCAGGGGAGGGCAGGCGGCACCCAGCAGTCATGGCGCCTGCTGCCAAACGTGGGCCCCTTCCTGATGGCACTGAGGCCGAAAACCCCAGCACCGGCTTTGGAAACAGAAACCAGCGTAACCGGAGGTTCTGGCAGTGTTTACGCGTATGTGTAAGCTGGCAGTGTGCTGGGTCACTTTCTGCTAAAACACGACTCGAATTTGGATCCAGAACGGCAACGGACGGAGCCACGAGCACCTCCTGCTTCTGCGTGGCGTCACCTCATCATGAGCGTGTCTCGCCCCGTCTGCAGTGGCTGTTTCGGTCCGGACAGACGTGCCACCTCACCTCCAGGACAGCGAGTACTCTTGGGGTGCTTTCTGAAACCCAACAGCCAACTTACGAGAGACTAGCTGGCTCTTTTCCCTTGTTGAGCATGGGAGGGTCCTTCTGACCTGTCGCCACGCAGCCCTGATGCTCGAGAAGACAAACAAGATCTCCAGGACCGTGGACCTCGCTGGCTTACTTACTCAACACTGACAGCTTTCACTTCAAAGGGTTCCGTTGGTTTTTAGAAGTACACAAAGCACTGATCTGGTCTTCCAAGGCTTCTCCCATATGCTGAACAATTCTTAAAATTCCTTTATTCAACAAACATTTGGGAGGAAACTAAATGACCACAGGTGCTCGGCAGGGCCACAGTGGTGAACCCTGTGACAAAAATGGCCCCTGCCGCAGGAGACCCGACCGCTGTTTTGATTTTGGTTTTTTGTTTGTTTGTTTGTTTTTTTGTAACAAACTGAAAAGTATTACAAAAGCATATCACAGGCAGAGTAACCAAAAAATTCTCATTTGTTTCCTCAAGTATTAAAATTTCAAGATTTCTGAAATGCAACCGGTACGGGTTTCTTTTCAGGACTCCAGCCCAAGTGTTCCTCTTCTGCCCAATTCTCTGAAGCCGGCTGAATAACAGACAACATTGGTGTTAAGCCGAAAAATCAAACTGGATTTTATTAGACTACACATAAGCAGCCCTCATCCTCATTTCCTCAGCTGAGGGATGTCACATGAAGTTAAGGAAAAACAGCGGCACTGGCGCCGGGCGTCAGGGCCGGAGGTGCGTCAGCGACTGTCCGCAGCCTGGAGCCTGGGGGGGCCGCGGAGTCGTGTCCAGGGCTGCAGAGTGAGGGGGCTGCAGCACGTGCTGGGTGGAGTCGCCGCGGCGCTGACACGCGCCCGTCCCATGTGCAGGGAGCAGCCTGCAGGCATGTTAGCTACGAGCAGGTGCTCATGGCCCAGAGTCAATGAACACTGAACTCACAGGAACATTTTTAAAAAAGACAAGAAATACAGAAGTTTGCTGCTTTAAAAAATGCATTGATGTTACTGTTTTATTCATACTAATTAGAACATATACACAAAAATGTGTATCATATGTTGCTTTCAAAAAGGTCTGTGTTCCATGAGAACTATGTAAACAGTGCAAAGTGTCTCTACTGATAACAAAGAATGAAAATCAACATTCTCAAGTAGTATTAGGAAAATATTTAGATTATCTGAAGTTATAGTATAACAAACTGAAATGGTACAGAACAGTCTTTTTATAAAGGAGATTTATATTCTAGAAGGAATACATTTCATACTTTCAATACTTTGGTATAAGTGAGAAACAAAGCAAAAAGAACAAAAAAAACCCTCTACTTTGGTTCTCACATTAGTTGGAATTCTAGCAAGGAGGCAAACACACCAGCTACCTCGGATGCAAGGTGGAAAACCTCGCGTTGTTTCCCTCTCCTGTGGGAACGGCCACGATGGAGAGACGGAGAGTGCTTCGGAGGGCTTCTGTGAGGCAGGGGCCTCTCACCACCCCCACAACTGTGCTCTCAGAACAGCCTGGAAGGCATCGCCAAAACCTCACATTCAGCTTGGAATGTAAGTGATCTTTGCTACTTCCCCTCAACAAAAGATCCCACACTCGAGCAGCTCAGAACTGTAATTCACATTGAAAGTAGAACATAATTTTTTAAATCGTATACCTACAGTTTCTCAGAAGTCCATACTTGCATAAAAAGAACATACTACATTGATAAAAAAAAATGTCAGTTGCATAGACCACCAACAAAAGTTTTTGTAAGAAACAGAAAACTGCATGCTACAAATATTTCTTCATTGATATCACATTACTTTGAAAACTGAACATCTAAACGGATCTGAGGAAATTTTGATTATATCACTTTATTATTACACTTTCTCATCTGTAGTGTCCAAGGGAGCTAATGCTTCTTTTCTCATTGTCTTTTTGTACTGCATGTTGTCTTTTAAATAAGCCCCTACATCTAAGAGTTGCATCTGAGTAACTGGCAATGAACGAATCACTTTTCTGTTATTCATCACAGGAACAAACTGGGACTGTCCTCTGAGGATTTTCTCAGCAATGCAAATTATACCGGGACTTTCTGTAAAGACAAGAACGTCTTTAAAAGAAACAAAGAATGTTGGGTGAACTTTACAAACACATTAGTAAGGCACGAAAGCATCGTGCCCCCCCCCCCCAGCACTGCCCAGGACCCCATGTTACTGAACAAACAGGTTCAACTGCCTCCCAAGAGCCGCCAGAGCTCACATGCTCAGACAGGTCTTCGAAGGATCCCGCCGAAGGTGCACAGGGACGCCAGTGTGATTAACCAGCGTGAGTGTCTTAGCAGAATGAGTACAGAAGGCAGAAGACAAAACAGCCCCTGGCTTCCCTATCAGATTTGGTGGAGACTTTTTAAAGAACTAAAGGACATAAACATTATGTGATATTTACATATACAGACTGATCTCTGCTGAGTGCACCACACGTATAATATAAAGGGATGACTAACTTGGCAGTTATTTTTAGTACTAGTACGGTACTAAGAACGTAAGTTTTTGCCTAAATTTTACAACCAAGTATAAGACGAAGGCAATTACAGTGACTGAATCATGTGTGAAATGAAAGGGTCTTAGCTGTTCATTATTTTATGACAGCAAAACCCTCGGACTGCTACTGTTTGGGTTTTATTCCAATTGCTTTGCTTTGCAGAGAGGAAGTGTCAGGGGAACCTAAATCATTTCAAAATTCATTTGAAGAAATAGCTAAGATTAGTATACTAAGAACTCACACTGCCAGATTTTAAAAACTATGAAACCACACCTTCTTTCTGAATCTAAGACACCATCAACTTAGATGTACCATCATTTTAGGTTCCACAAAAAGAAAAGATGCGCAGGGTAGGGAATGAAAGGGGACATACTCTCGCAAAAAGTGGGGACACTGAATGGCAAGAGCCTCCATGAGGAATAAAAAAATAACCCTTGTGCACACGGAGTAGCAGAGAGCCTGCATGCCTGCCTGCACAAGGAGAAAACAACTCCCCGAAGTCTGCACTGGCTCCTCCACCGCATCCACAGCTGTCCTCTGGGAACACAGGCTGAGGCAGGTCAAGAAAAGCGCTGGCAGAGAAAGCTGGCTTGGGCAGTAGCGCCGCCTGGTGGCTGGTAGAAAAAACGCAAGCTAGCAAAACTCCAATTTCCTCCAGCCAACTGCCCAGGAACATTTTAACTTTCAAAGAAGTTAAAATGTGGACAGTAAGATTTGGAATCAGTCAATTATGGGAAACAGATACGTAAGTCAAAGAAACATGTCAGAAATCCTAGAAAATAAATATTAGACACATTTTTTTAAAAAATGACAGGTAAAAGTAAGTGATAAAAACAAACCAATGACAAAAGGGCACATCATTCAATGTACAGCACAAACAAAAAAGATTAGCTACTTAGGGAAAAAACCCTTCTCTCTATCATCATCCTAAACAGCACTGTCAAATATGAAAGTCACATAAAAAGAACTGAAATCAAATAAATGTAATAATTAATCTTAAAAGACTGGTTACATATTTTTAAACATACTCTGGAACCCACACACCCCTCTCCAAAATTCAAAGTATAAGCAAAAACTAAAGGCAAACGTCAAACTTCAGAAAAATAGTTGCAATGATAAAATTTTAATATCTTTAAGTATCATAATTAAAAATTAATAAGGGAAAAAATTCTACCCCACACTGCCAGATCTTGATGCTTCAGATCAGCTTAAGAAGGAACACAAGTGGCCAGTAAAATACACCCAAAAACACTCAACTACACCGTAATGGGAACATGATAATAAAATAATGATACGGCAATTTCTGAATATCAACCGGGAACATTTTTTGAAATAGTAAAACCCATTGCAGGCAAAAGTGGAGGAAATACAAAAATGGAGCAATCTTTTTTGAAAAGCAAATTCGTAATAAGTGTAGCTCAAAAGCCACAACTACATGTCAGGATTATCTGTTGTCAGAGTGAAAAGGTGTAAAATCACCTGAAATCCAGCAATGGTGGAAAAGTTAGACGAAGTGATTAAAGCCTTTGCTTTCCTACAGTGGAAGGGACAGATACACTGACACTGTCCGTTCCCTTGACTGCACGACTGTGCGACGTCCAGGCTCTGGAAGCCGCCAGCAAGGCCAGCGCGCCAGCGCCAAGGCACGAGGCATCATTCATCTCACCATGCCCCCCGCTATGTGCGGAAACGAACCTCCTCCTGTGTAAGGTATTTTGAGTTGGATTCTGTCACCTACAAGCAAAGGAATTCCGCACTGATATTCCTGGGAACCTATTTAAAAAAAACAACTGAAAATTAAAGAACTCACATGCTATGCATAATTAGAAAGAAAATTATAACAAGTCAGAAATAAAAACTAAAAACTAATTCCCTTTATTGTCTCTATTCTGACTTTTTTTCTTTTTAAAGACAATATAAGAGGCTACAAACAAAGAGAAGATGGCCGTCAACGTCCATTCCCTAAGACAGATTCAGAATGACACATGGACTGATACACACAACAAAGGTCAACTCACAGAGGACTGAAGCTCAATCAATGCTGGGGCTGTTCTGGAGTAATATTCATCGTTCGATAGATTTCTTTAAGGAGTAACAGGGCAGTATCTTCAGATTCCCTATCAAAAAGAAAGGCAAATTTATTTACCAGACAATAGAGAAACCAACCTCCACAGACACTGGGAGAAAATGCATCTTTTGTGTTAACTCTACCCAAGAGGTGAGTACTGTGGAGTTAGAGCCGGCCTTAAAGTGCGCAGGATGGACAGGCCCCGGGACCCTGCGCCAGCCATCCCGCAGACAGGTGCCCTGTGGAAGGACCCAACCACTGCTCTCTGGAAGGCAACCTCTGAAGGGCACACAAGTACAGAGGCTGCTGGTTGGAGGCAGATGACAGGCTGCCATCTTGTGGTTAGCCAAAGGGGGAAACACAGATTTTGAAATTATGGGCCTTCAAATGAACATCCCACAGTATCGACGGCAGTAGTGTCACCCCCAAACTGCAGTATGGGTAAGCGCCTACAGACCACAGGACTGTTAGCAAAGACGAAAACACTTACCAATAGCACAGATGACTCTGAAGAGCGAAAAGATATTCGTTAAAACTCTCTATTGGCTTTTCTTGAAGAACGTAGTCAATTCGGCGGCCTCCATTTAGCATTCCAACCTTTCCTAAGTAATCTTCATCCTTGGAAAAATCTGGACTTTCAACAATCTTTTCTGCTAGAATGTAAACCATTTCAATATCAAAGTCAACCACAGTCAGTATCCTTGCCCTTAGCTGTCTCTCAGCTAATGAGAGTATGTTTGACACACGCAGCAAGCTGGAGCACCAGCAGGCTCACTCCCCATCCTCGAAAGAGCCAGGGAGAGAGGGGCTGGTTACCCAAGAGAGGGGAGAGAGCCAACTAGTTGACAGAAGTTCTGAAGAAAGGGGGTGAGCGAGCATTGCAGAAAGAAAGGAAACTGAATTAGAATCCGAAAAAGTCAAAAGCGCCGTGGCACAGTGACCTGACACGGCGCATGGGGTCCACAGCGCCCCAGAAACAGCAGCATCAGGGCGGCAACCACCCAGGGCAGTACTTCCAGTGCCAAAGACGTGGGCTTAGTTCCCAACCAGATACCCCACTCTGGCCTTAGGAATCACAACAAAAGCTTAAGATTGCCACCCAGAGGAGAAAATCTAGTGAAAAAGGACAGCATGCACTTTGATGTACAGTATACCATACAGACTTCCCTTTACAGGAAGAGCCTTTATAATTTACAAAGACATGAATGGAAAAGCATCATTCACTACTAAATAAGGGGTGTTACGTTCAGAACAACATACGAACTGGAAAATGCCTCAAGTGGCAAATTTACCTTCAACCACTTGCTTTTCTTCCTCTTCTTTGATCTGATGGGCTACCTTCTCCAATTCTTCTTGCAACTGAGTTGAAGAGGTATGTGCACGGGCAAACTCATTTAAAGTCTGCCAAGCACTTTTCAGAGAGCTTATAAAACCCTGCTTCAGATCAGATCCCATTCGAGAGAGACTTTCTTTCAACTCTAAAGAGAAGACGAAGACACATCAGGTTACCGGCTGCCGGGTAAAATCTGCGCCACAAAACTGAAACAAAAGCTAACCGTCTTCTCAGACAGCAAAGGCCCCGTTTCTCTTACATGCCAGTATGCCAAGTTTCTCAGCTAAGCACCATCAACCTCTAGCGCGTTTGAGAGTCTGAGCCTACCTTTCAACAACCAAACTTGACTGAACCTCACCTATAACCTCCATGGGCAAAGTTCAAATACAATAAGCAAATTCATATATTGTTTTTACTGAGAGTCAAAAAACGAGTCCTGGAGATCAAAACATGAATATGACTATTTTCCCAATCTTTAAGAGTGAGACAGTTTTGACAATCTGAGATTCTGACATAACCCATAATTTTAAAAATCAGAGAAACTCGTGCCCCTCACCTTTTCCACTTTGGCTAATAAATAGTATCATATTCAAGCACCAGATTTCTTTGGTATCATATTTCCCTGAGTATCAAATTTCTCATATTAACTTCAAAAATATTTTAAAGTATTCAGCTTTTTAAAGCACACAGTATAAAACAACCAGCACCTCTAAACAGGAGTGCTTGACCAGTTTTCCTGGTCTTCTTTTATACTCCCTTCCCTTCCGCTCAAGCTCTAAAGCCCATGGCTAAGTAATGAACACCACAAAAAGGCATGAGAGATCTAAACCGCATCTGGAATCACTATCGACCTACTGTGTTTAATGATTTTTTCAACAGAGAAAGTCTTTCTATTTGGCCAAGAGATAACAGCTCATTTGATGCAGATAGCATCAAATTTATTTCTTAATGATTTGGTCCTGAATTCCAGTATTACTCTGCTTCCCAATTACAAATGTTACAACCAAACTCCTTCAAAATCTATGTATCTTATCATTTTACTACTGATCTCTCCATTCCTAATTATCTCAACAATTAGAATATTACCAAAAATGAGGTTATTAAGGAAAAGGACATAACTTCTTTACAACTCCTCCAAATATTTATTGAATAAGTTCTGAAAAGAGCAGGATTTTAAGTTCAATAAGAGAGGATTTAGTGTTAAAACTTTCATAATTCTTACAGATGATAGAAACGATTAATGCATTACATATGACTGATTACAAAAGGATAGGAAGGAAACAAATGTTCATAGTATTTGCCTTTTACCTAAATGAAGTCTTTTTCTGCCCTTGTGATGTGGAATGAGAACTGGTTTCAGGTCCAAATCTGGAACAATCATAGGTTCTAATCTGTACGCCACTGGATCAAGCTATAAAGAGGAAAATTGGAAAGGTTATGAAAAGCAGCTACATTTTTAGTTACATGTTAGCTGGATGAGAAAAAGGATGGCTGGTAAGCTATAGATTTTAATTTTCCATGACTTATTCAAAATATTGGTAATTTTAAGAAGACCTTCAAGTTTGTGGGAAAATTAGTTTGCAAAAAGCAAAACAAAAAGAATTGTTTACTTGAACAAAAGTTTTATGCAGAGAAGTTTACTGATAGCAGTAAACTCTACCAGGACAGAATAGATACAATAGACATCTCCTGTACAAAATCAAGATCAGTTTTAACTCCTAAAGATTAAGAATCAGAACCTACTAGGACAAAGAGGACAGCTGGAAGTAAATTCAATTCACTCACTGGATGATAAATATTGAAGAATCCTTTACAGGTAGGAAGCCTGTAGTTCTCCTCTATTCTATCTACTCCACGGACAGTGAGAAACATACCAATCGGGGATCCCAAGGCAAAGAAAATCTCTGGTTCAAAGTCTAGGGAGTTGTAAACAACAGAAACCTAGGAAAAAGCAAATAACAATTAAAGATGATCACTCCAATATTGTACAAGAAAATCAAAGGCTTCCTGTAACTGCACTTAATTAAATACAGCCCAACACAGATGACCCCCCTCAAGGCATTTCTTACGCTAACAGCCAATCTCATGGACTATATCACTGGCTTATGAGGGCAAAAAACTTCTTTAAAATATTTAGAGACTATTACATCCCCTGCTTATCTTTTTTTACTGCATAGCATAATACATACAGAATGCAATAAATACTGCATTTTTGATAGTCCTAAATGTGGTTACAACTCCATACATTAGATGTGAACTGCCTGACTTGAACCCTGGCTCCACTCCTCATAGTATGCTCAAGGGCAAAGTTTCACCTCTCTGTTTCAGTCTCAATTTCCTCATCAATAAAATGGGGACATAACAATGCCAAATTCACAAGTGGTGAAAATAAACTAATCCACAAAAGTGCTGAGCATAGGACATGGAACATGGTAAGCTTTTAACAATTGTGATCTCCTGGTGCAATGACCACCCTCATTTGCCAAGACAAGGTTCTACTGATCAGAAGGATTTGTCCCAAGAGGCCCCTTCTAGGAGAAGTTTGCATATAGCCTCTCTGTTGACTGAGAGCTGCACCCAAGGGAACGTAGGATTGAACTCTACAGTTTACAAAGGTCTTTCATTCTTGCCCAGTAGCTAGCTGTGGTCTTTGTCATTTAGTGTCCTAACAGGGTGGACAAAGAAGGGTGCCATCCCCACGCTCGCAGGGACCCACCAGGGGGGAGGTCACAAAGGCATCACACCCTCGCCTCAGCAGACCGTGAAGCTCCGTCATGTGACGTCACTTCCCTGAGAGCATCCGGCAGTGAGTGGCAGAGCGAGAGCTTTAAATCCAAATGCAGGCCCTCCCTGGTGGCGCAGCGGGTTAAAGCACAGCACTGAGAAGCTAAAGCCACTTCCGCATGAGTTCGATCCCGCCTGCCCCGGAGGTGACCACATGGCGCGGCAGACCTCTCCTGACCCGCCCGCTGCTCCCCTCAGCAGTGTACTTCATTGATTTGCCTGTTCTGCTCCCTACTCTGTCTCTGGTGAAGCCTCTCACCGCCCCTGAGCCTCTGGCCTGTACCCCAGTTCTGTATGCAGAAATAAATAAATCTTTAAAAAAAAAAAAATCCAAATGCATTTCTCTTCCCCAAGGAGAGAACGAGTGGACACAGCAAGTGTCCACTCTTTAAGTATATTCTTAGCAGCCTGTTCTCACTACTATTATTTTCTGTTGCTAATGGCTGTAAGAGGCTAATGTGCAATTCTTAGTGCATGAACAACTGAAATAACAACTTCAAAAATTAAATATAGTCAGTACATGTTCAATCCTTTCTTCTGAACACCCTGAGAGCACAGGAGTTCTATCAAGAGAAAATCAGTTTTCGCCAACCCCCTCGTAAATGCCGAGAACGTAAAAAATGTAAAAGCCCACCCAGTTAATGAAGGTATGTGATTCCAACATAAGACGTGCAGCTTCGAGAACATGTAAACCCACCTGACCCGTGCCGACCTCAAAAGACTCGTAATCAACATGCACGGAGGAGACGTAGGCGCCGACTGGGAGCTTCCTCCTGGACGCATCAGCTTCGGGGGGCAGCGGTGCCATCTCGGGAGCTCTCTGAGCACTTTCTTCTTGTCCTTTGGACACAGAGCCCACCGCTGCTTTCTTTTCTGACGCTATTCTTCTCTGTTCCTGTGAATATCAACTTTTTATAGAGCAACCTGGAGGAAAATTCTGTTACCATCTATCACTGTGAAACGTACTATCTCACTACAAAGGAAGGATTCACTTCTTAGGTACAGCAACAGCATGGTAATTGCTAGGCAAAGTTCCTTTTCACAGACATGGACTACACATTTGGGGAAAAAGTGTCAAGATGTCTCTAGTTTAAAATTTCTACCAAACAAAAAAAAGAAAAAAATGTTACATGTAAATACTGGCTTTCATCATAGCATTCACTCTACTTTCCTATATAATTTAAAATTTTAACATAAGCTAAAAATTGCCAACTTACTTCTTTATGATCTCAATTTGAGAGAGTTTAGATGTAGTATAAAAATGTAAAATATAGGGGCTTCCCTGGTGACACAAGGGGTAAGTCACAGCACTATGAAGACTATGAAGCTATCAGCAGCCACTGCAGCACGAGTTCAATCCCCAGCCAGGGAGTGACCCACATGGCAGAACAGACCTCTCCTGACACGCCCGCCTCTCCTCTCAGCAGTGTATTTCAGTAGATCTACCTGTTCTGCTGCCCAGAATTCTCTGGTGAATTCTCTCATTTCCCACACCTCTGTCCTACACCTCAGCTCTCGTATGCATAATAAAGTTTTAAAAAAAAGAAAAGAAAAAAAATAAAGAGATCTAAGAAACATAAAGATTAAGCAAGTTGCTCCTAAAATGACTGGAACTGGGAATGCCAACTCATTCCTATTTCCCTAGGACCGACCCAATTTTTGCACCAAGAAATTTCCAAATATCAATTTTAAAAGTGAAAAGTCCTTCATCTCAGGAATTCTCCATCCCTGGAAAACTGAGGTGGTCAGTTACCCTCACTGGAATTCAGTCCTTTTGTAGTGGAGGCCGAAGCTGGGCTCCCAACTCCACTACCGTGTCCTCAGCAGGGAGCCGCCTCCACTGGCCCAGCCGGCCGTGGGATTAACAAAAACCTTCGAACACAGCCAGTTTTCTCTGAAGAACAGAAACGAACATTACCAGTTTGGCTGCTTTATGTTTCACAAAGTTAGCTATCTTCTTCCTGGGCCCGAGGGGTATGCCCATCTCCTTCAGATCATCAACTGTACACATAAGCTTCAAAAACAACAACAAACAACAAGCATGTTAAATAAATCGGTCTAGTAGTAGATGAACAAAAATTATCAAAAGAAACAATTTTAAACACAATAAATCGAATTATCATCAGTACCAGAGATTCCATATCAATCTTTTCCTTTTCGAAAGTGCTAGCATATTCAGAAAGGCTAAGTGCTTCCAGGGCTTCTTGTAAGGTTAGGACTTCCTCGTTTTCAACATCAAGGTCACATGACTCATCCAAAGTCAGCTTGGGTTCTTCAGGAATCTTAGGAAAGTTGGGAGAACATTACAAAGTGCAGAAAAAGCACCATACAAGTCCTATCTACAGAAAAATCTTAAACACATCTGCTCTACAAACCAACCATAATTTTTGGGAATTTGTGATCCAAAGCTTGCATATTCTGAAAAAGTATATAAATTTATCACTCACATTCCCATTTGTTATAATAACTTACCTTAACATAGTTTTAATCATAAGCTTTCTCTCATATTTAAATTTGTAATTCAGAGAGAAACTCAACAAGCTAGGTGACTCCAATATGCTCCCAAACCTCAATATAGTCCAACGTATAAAACCTTTCCAGGACAGGAAAGCATTCGGCTCCAGACACTGATCTGGGAATCGGGCATACCTGCTTCTCCTGGAAATGCGACTGCTTCACAACTCCGTTGGCAACAGCAAAGGGTCCAGAAGACTTTGATAAATTCAAGTCTTTCTGATTAGACAGGATGTCAAACAATATTAAAGAGCCTAAGAAAAAGAAGCATTTTGCTCATCATCTACTAGGTACTTTTCCATAATCTTTTTTCCCCCAAAGTCCCTAGGCAAGAGTCATACCAAAGCCAGATGTTAATTAAGACCTGATAATCAATATCCTTATTTTACCAAACACCATAATTAAAATAGGGATATAAAGCAACCCTGGTAAATCATAAAAGGGTGGATAGCAGAGGACTCATTTAAACTTGAAGCACTCACTCACTACTACCCTTTCTAATGCTTGAAACTTAGGCTATAAATCTCTCACTAACAGTGCCACCCACTGAAGCCCAATGATGCAACAAAAATTGAGTTTCACCTAAACTGTGACCAGCCACCGAGACCCCGCCTCTGAAGTTCGGGTTCCGGCTCAGGAAGAGGGCATGCAGCCTGTTGATCTCCATCCCCACCTTCCCCACGATCCTCTGACAGTAGGTGGGGCTATTGTAAAATAAAACATCTAGCAAGGTTTCATTGGTAAAGTGACGAAACCGACCAATACTTGATAAAGTGATTTTCTTAATATTCCTGTTCAGAAAGAAAAAAACAAATTCAATTAGCAGTTAACTAAAGCCATGGGTTTTTGAAGTTTAGATTTTTAAATCCTGATCATACACTGAGAGGAAAAGTCCCACCAACTAATAACAAGCTGATCCTACAGACTAAAAAAAACAAAAAAGAAAAAAGTTATTTGTGCCTAGAACTGTTTCTGAATTTCGGAATCCTCTAGAAGAGTGAGCATAAAATCAGGCATATGCAAAAATTTTAACTTTATTTTTTAAATGAATTCCATTTTTCTTTCAATTGATTGGAAATCAGGGTACCTGACAAAAACTGTAGGGGAGAAAGATAACAGAGAATATAGCAAAAGGTAATGAAGGAACTTTAGGGAATAAAAAATCTTTGAGTATGGCCACAGTGAAGGTTCACGAACATCCCAGAGAAAGGCCTGCCATGGACAGAACGCAGGTTCACATGACCGGTTTTAGTAAGCTCTGTGCCCTGAAACACTGTGAGTCTTCACTATAATCCAGGTGTGTCATCAGCCCTGTGTCCCATCATAACTGGGTTCCCAACTGGGACCATCACAGCTGAGCGGTCGCAGACCTGGAGAGCGCCGCTACCTTTACAGCCAGAATTCTAGACTGTCTACCCCACAGGCTGCGTCTGAACAACAATGAACTGCATTGCCACAGTGGCCACCGAAATGATCCAAGCTGTGGCTCTCAAGCTTGACAGTGTCACACACCAGGGGACACTTGGCGATGACCAGAGACATGTTAGGAGGAGGGGGCGGATGTCACCATTATCTAGTGGGTACAGGCCAGATGGGCTGCTGAAAATCCCCCAGCAGACGACGCAGCCACTCTCCTATACCACTATCCCTAAACCACTATAAATCAGCATGGTATTTTGTAACAGGCTTACAATTCTTGAGTCTCTTAAACATTTACAATGGGGACAAACACATTCACACCCATGGAGAGTGAAGTATAAACTCAAGAGCCATATGTTAGAGCAAATATATAATTAAAGAAATGAATCTGTTTTCATATTATGAGTTAAATTTTCCTCCAAGTGTGAATTATCTGAAAAACAGGTGACCAAATTCTACATACCTGTCAACACCTGTGGCATCCCCACCCAAGGAACTATGCCAGTGAACCGGAAGGAACTCCACTCTGCTTATTTTACGGTCGTCTAAAGATTTCTTGAAATGTGTCTGCAGCAATTTGAGAGAAACCACCCTAAAATCATCCACTTAAAAAAAAATAGGGAAGATAAATTAAATTTCCCTAGTTTGGTAATTAGCAAATACCTCAAGTATGCCACTATTCTTTATAACAAACTTTTCAAGGAGAGAAAAAAACAATTACAAAATTAGTTTAAAAAAAAAAAAACCTTTAAGGAAGTGCTTTTTAACTTTTCACTATTTTCGAGAGAAGTATAAATGAGTTGAAAACATCAGTTCAACCATCTCCCTAGGGGCAGCAGGGTTTTGATTCCCAGACCCTGGAATCAAGCTTCCTGCCGCAGGACCAAGCTTCCGCTCCAGAGCCCACTGTCTGACACCTCGCCAGGAGCAGGAACACCGTGGCTGCACCTGTGTGCACACCCAGGTTACTCTGGGGCACATGACACAACGCACGTGAGATATTTCACACTTACCAAGTATTTAATAACAAATACAACTTCAAACATCTAAATAAACCCCGAGAGCTCCACTGAAGGATTTCTGACAACTAATCCCTCACTACAAATCAGCTCAATGCACTGGTGCTCCTCGGGGCTGACCGCGCTCAGGAAGAGGCTGTCAGGAACATTCAGTTATTTCTAAGTGTCTTCTAATTCTTCACAGTCAAGACTTCATGAACTACACATGCCACAAAAGCAGATCACATACAAATTTCCCAGTGACGTACCGTCCCTCAGCCAGTAGCATACAGTGGAAGTTATCTCAAAAATTAACATTTAAAAGCTTTCCTACTGGCTCTCAAATCATCCCACGAAATAAAACTTACCACATTCAATAATACTTCTAAAGCGCAAGTCACACACTGGCCCGATGCCATGTACCATGAACACCAAATGGTCGACCGGAGGCATCTCTCCTGGAAAAGAAACACACACACAACGTGGAGTTGTTTGGGCTTTCTTAACAGAACAGCAATGTTCTAGGTAGCATTCCCATCACTGCAAACCTTCCACTCTAATAGGTCCCACTAACCGCTACCAAATTACATCAGAACAAAGCTCCAAGTCTATCTAGGCAAATGATAGTATGTTAGACCCAGAAGTAAAGGACGCAAACCATCCCTGCTCTCAGCATCTGACACCAGCAGTTCTGCCCCTGTTCAGACTCCACAACCTGCGGTTTCTTCAGAACTCCCCAGATAACTGTTTCTCCAGCCCCACATGGAGAACCAATTTGCAATATAAAATTAACCCTAACCCAAAATCCTCCTCTTTGTTAAATTTATACCTACTATATAGGGACATCTCCAAATTCAGCCAACTATTTTACTCTGGATATTTCACTCAGATTCATAATGAGGGCATTTGTTTTGTAATCTCATAAGACAATGAAACAACCATAAAGTCTGCAACTGTCAAAAAATCCATACTTTAAGTAACACAATATGAGAAATCAAAGCATATCCCCTGGAGCAGAAGGGTGGCAAACTATGGCCCATGGGTCAAATCCTGTCCATTGCCTGTTTTTTAAATAAAGTTTTATTAGAATAGCAGTTAAGCCTATACATTTACATATTGTCTATAAATGCTTTCACACTATATAGCAGAGTTAAGAAATGCTACAGAGGCCCTCCCTGGTGGCAGTGGATTAAAGTGCAGAAATGCAAGTGAGCCTAAGCCACTTCGGTGTGAGTTCGATCCCCACCCTGGAGGTGACCCACATGGTACATCAGACCTCTCCTGACCCACTGCTGCTCCCCTCAGCAGTGTACTTCGTCAATCTGCTTATTCTGCTCCCCACTCTGTCTCTGGTGAATCCTCTCACCACTCCTGCACCTCTGGCCTGCATCCCAGTTCTGTATGCATAAATAAATAAATCTTTTTTAAAAAAGCAGAATTTATATGATCTGCAAAACCTAAGATATTCACTGTGTGACTCTTTACAGAACAAGTCTGTCAACTCCTGCACTTTATTTTTATAAACTATTTGAGTCCGGGGCTGCCCTGGTGGCACAGGGGTTAAATCTCAGTGCTTATCAAGCCAGTGCCAACCACTGCAACATGAGTTCGATCCCCGGTCCACGTGGAGCTAACCCACATGGGTGGTGCAGCAGACTTCTCCTGTCTCGCTCGCTGCTCCCCAAGCAGTATACTTCAGTAAGTCTGCCTGTTCTGCTCCCCATTCTGTCTCTGATAAAGCCCCTCACCAACCCCTGCACCTCTGGCCTACACCCCAGTTCTTGCATGCATAAATAAATCAATCTTAAAAAAAAAAACCTAGTTGAGGCCAAGACAAGCCCCAAAGTACTGCCAAAAGCTCAGCTTCAACAGGAGAGCTTCTTCACAACAACACATATTTTAGATTCCATATTACATGCTTCATGAATCTTTAACAAAATTCTGAGTGAACAGATAAAGATGTAAAATAAGATTAAAGAAAGATATATGCCAAACTGGCTGATTTATATATGTATGGCAAGTAATCCTAAAAATTGTTTCTTTTTTCAACATTCTAAAAATTGGTGCTAAAATTGGGTAGCCTGAAAGTGACCCTGGTCCTAAACACACCATTTTACATACCATCAGGAATCTCATCAAGGTCGTCATCAATTCCGCGCTTCACAACTCTGGGTCGTGTCTGTCCATCCTGTGTGGTCCCCCACTCATCTGGCATTGATGAAGGCTGGAACTGAACAATGACCTTCAAAATGCAAGAGAAGGGTTTTACAGAACTCAAGGCCAAATTCATTTCACCACAGGCTTAAATAATGTATGTCAACATCTAGAAAGCTAATTCATACCACGAAGAGTATGTAAGTCAACTACTAGTACTTTTTCCCCAAAATCAACTGTAACAGATGCGGTAGTGCTCATTAACCATTGAAACTGAGCGAATCAACATCATTATTTCCAAAGAACATGTTGAAAATAAAACAATTACACCTGAAGATACCTTGATTTGAAAATACAACATAAAAATCCAAGCTTACAAATAAGAAATCAAGCAATAGAGGAGCCTATAAATACACATAAGGAAAATTATTTAAACACTAAGAGTCTCGGTTAACTTATAAATTCAATTTCAGTAACAAAAACTGATTTATCCAACACTGTTTAGAAAGGCATACACTGTTACAGCAGCTGTGTTAACTTTAGCCTTGTGTCATATAGAAACACGTTTTAAAGTAAGCAAGATTATGTTTGCATTAAAAAAAAAAAGCCAAAAAGTTAAGAGTGGCTACCATCAAGAGGGTTTGCTCTGGGTATCTCTTCATAATATTAGATTTTGCCATCATATGAATGTTTTCATTATTATTTCGTTCAATACCAATGGATTATAGAGGTGGTTTGAGTATAGTTTTTTTTTCCCTCTGTACTTTTCTACAATATACAAACAGCCTATGTTCTGAGAAACCACTGTATGCTAAAGCTCTGTGCTAGATGCTTTTGCATAAATTACCTCACTTCTTCAAACTATGACCCTGGGAGGTAAATCTTATTGCAGGCGAGGAACCTGGGGCTCAGGGAAATTAAAGGTGATAAATGAAAGAAGCCAGCCACCATGAACCACTACCTTTAAAAAAAAATGTTCGTGGAGACAATACAGGTAAAAAGAGAAAGAACATATTTTTCCTTTAAAGAAGGAAATGAACCATCATCAAGAGCAGGATAGGCAGACACGGCGTGCAGGCCAAACCCGGCCCACCGCCTGCCCTTATGAACAAAGCCGCACTGAACAGCCATGCCGTCGCTTACAAGCTGTCTGCAAGTGCTTCAGACTCTAGGGGCAGCGCTGGAAGCCACACGCAGGCAAGAGAGCCCAGGGAGCCTCAAATATTTACTCCCTGGCCCTTTTTTAAAGAAGCCTGCCAACCCCTGAACAAGCACATAAAATTACCAAGAAGATTAAACTTCAGCTAAGTTGTTGCCATAAACAGAAACCTCCTAAAACAAATTTATTTTTTGTCTACATGAAACTACAGTAAATTGAACAGAAATGCATTTGGTGAAAATACATTTCTACTGCAGAAGCTATTAAAGTACTAAACACGTTCAGAAAAATAGTAATATAACAAACACTTCAATATCAAACAGTATCGTTACCTTTGGGTTGTGCATAACAATCGTCTCTCCACCTGGAAACTCTAACCTGCGGTGCCACTGATTCGTGGTTACAGCTTTTTTATATTCGGCCTACAATAACAAAGACAACATACATCATCCACTGTAACGCAACCCACCGTGACAAACCTATCACATGGAGAGAATGCACGGAAGAAGGTAATAAAAATAATAGCAGCTCTGACATGCTTCTCCCTTTACAGATGTTACCTTGTTTAGTCTCAACCACTCCTAAGTCACGTTAACCAAGATTCAGACAATGCACTCGTCTCCCAGGGTTGCCACACAAGGCACTGTATCTGAGGGCCTCAGACAATGACATACATGTTTTACGTGCTGGAGCTTGGCAGAGGAAATCACGGTGCCGGCAGGGCCCTGCTCCCTCCGAAATCACGGGAGCCTCCTCCCCCCGCAGCTGCTGGGGCCTGCTGGCAGTCTCCAGTGTTCCCTGGCTTGTGGATGCACCCTCTAATCTGTACTTTCACATGGCACCCAAAGTGTGTGTCTCAACAGGGCTATCTTCTTCTAAGAACACCAAAGTGGAGTAGGGACCCACCCTGCTCCAGCATGTTGACTATTTATGCAACAACCCTATTTCCAAATAATGTCAGAACATTTAGACTTAGAATTTCCACATCTTTTTTTCTTTTTAAGGAGGTGAGGTTTCTTTTTTTTTTTTTTTATTTACTTATTTATGTATACAAGAACTGGGGTACAGGCCAGAGGTGGGGGGGGGTAAGAGAATTCCCCAGAGACAGAGTGGGGAGCAGACAGGCAGACTGACTGAATACACTACTGAGGGGAGCAGCGGGCGGAACAGGGGAGGTCCACTGTGCCATGTGTGGGTCAGCTCCCTGGCCTGGGATGGAACTCAGGTCATCACGAGGTTGACGCTAATACTTAACCCCTAGGCCACCAGGCAGGCCCCAACTGGGGCTCTGGCTCAGGCCTCAGCCTCCGCTCAGCAGACACTATCTGTGTAGGAGACCCCATCCAGCCAGCACCAGCCTCTCTCTCTCTCTGTCCCTGTCATTGTTTCTCACCCTGTATCTGCTTTTGTGTGGTGTCCCACAGCTGTGAGACCCCATCGATCTGCTCAACCCAGTTCCATTTCTTGAAGTCATAATTTATGTCTTTTCAATCCTATTCTGTAGTTTTTCTCCATAAAGTAAATCTGTATCTTTTGAACTATTTTCCTACTTAGTATAGTTTTCTAAAGTGATATAAACAGCACCTTTATTATAGTTTTTAGTTAGCTATTTCTATTATATAAGAATGTTATTAATTCATGTACACTTATTTTCTATTCAAAGACTTGTGAAATTCTTACACCACATGTAATAATGTAATTTATAAGAAATATACATATTTGGTTACTCAGGTGGCTATAACACATTTATCATGCATATCTGATCCTCACATACAGCTGTCTCACACTTCCCCCAGAAGCATTGGAATTTCCCAAGAGTTGCAGAGTGATAAAGGGGTCTTTTGCTCTATTTGTGAAGATGAATTTTGGAAAACACTTGCAAAAGGGGGCTAGTGACCAGACAACCAAAATGACCAGAGGGGGGAGCTTTTTATTTCCACTCCCAGATTTCTTAGGAGAGAGGGGCTAGGAGGGAGCTGAGATGCCACTGATTCGTGATTTAATCACTCAGGTCTATGTAATAAAGTCTCCATACTATCCCAAGAGGAAGGAGCTTCAGCTTGGTGAGTATCCGGAAAGGAGAGGACATGGCACTGTACGCCTCGCCCTTCTCGCCCCTGCCTCTCTTCTATCCACATGCTTGCGGGAGCTGTCAGCAACAGATCCCAGCAGCCTAAGCTCTTCTAGAGGTTTGATACAAGTACTTCATTAGCTCTGTGACGTGTTCCTGAAAAACTATCTCTAGACCCTGCGGTCACTATCAGCACCTTATAAGTGATGACACCATCTTAAAAGGAATCTTCTGTGTGAACAGGATAAAGACTGGCTCCCCTAAATAAAGTCTGCTCCCTTGTGAAAACTGTTAGATGAGGCTCCAATGTATACACGGCATATGCTTTTTAAAGAAAAACGAAAGGAATAAAGCCCACATACCTCTAGTTTTTCACTGAACTCCTCTGTATAGGGAACAAACCTGCTATCTGTGTCCCCTTTATAAAACCAAGTGCAGCGTCTCACTTCGGTGGGATCCTCTTCCCAGTACACAGCCTTCCTCATTCGGTCATAGAGATGAACGTCATAGCGTCCCCCATCCGTGCCCAGAACCACACTCTCAGGGTCTGGCTGGACTGGAACACAAAGTCCGCATTGTAAATCAGCAGTTACGAGGTGTATTTATAGCAATAAATAATGAACATAGTGACTAGTCAGTCCTTAAAGACCAAGAACGAAGCTCATCTTTTTTTTAAAAACAAGAGTGATCATAAAATACTTCAAGTAACTTGTGGATATCCTTTTGTAATCAAAGTTGCAATGCTCCATGACATGGTCCTGAAGGACCGAATCAAAACATTGTTTCTAAGACCTCTATGAGACAGAGTCAGGGTGGAAACATGTCTATGAGATTTCTCTGCACCTTAGCATCGTCTGCGAGCCAGTCTCTCTCAAGAGACGGGGGCAGTCACAGTGGCACCAAAACTCGCCTGAGCGAGTGGCGCAGCTTTTCAGACCCCTCTAGAAACAAGAGTTTTACTTAAAAACGCTTTATAATTTCTCTGACTTGAAACAGCTTTAGACAAACTATTTCTCCAAAAACAAAAAGCACTTCTTCGAATGACTCAGAATCCACATGAATACCACCATCTGAAGGCAGAGTCCGGAGGGGTCAGATTAACACGATATTCACCACAAAATACACAATAGACGCAGTCTTACATTTTCTCTTCCTAAAATCAAATTACAAGATTCATCTGACATTCACAAAAAGTAGACGATAAGTAGTCTTACTTTTTTTCTTCCTAAAATCAAATGACAACATGATCAGTGCTCACCTGAATTAAAGGTTTCTTCAAGATTCAAAGAGTCAAACACACTGAAAGGCATCCACAGTTGTTTGTATTCCACCACCTTGCAGTAAAACCAGTGGGGCTGAACAGGCTCATACTGGTTTTGAAGCAGAAAAGGAGGCGGCGCCTGCACAGAGGGACCCGCTGGCCTGGCCAGTGCCTGCTGCTGGGCTGGGGGCGGCAACCCCGACTGCACTGGAGGAGGAACCTGCAGGGGACAGAAAAGTCACGTTTGTCGGAGGAACGATGATGTACCTGTGACACTAGCGCGAACCACCCGCATATCCTTGTGGGTAACCAGGTGAGTGACCAGGTCCCAGTGCAGCGTCTTCCTAACCGAGCAGCACCGGCTGCAGAGGGAACTGGACAGAGTGAGCCAGCCTCACAGAAGTCACCCCAGCAAGGTGGCTTCTGTCATTTATTTTACCTTATGCTTGACCGAGCCGTTCCTTTCTACGAATTCATCTTGAAGATATAATTATAAAGCCAGGTAGACTTTCTCACTGGTCATATACAAAAATGTCACTTATAAGAGAAAAGCACTGCGCACAATCTAAATGTCTCACGGATGACTGATTACTCAAGTAAATTCCTGAGAGCCACTAAATTTGTTTTTTAATCTTTAAAATCTTACCATTTCAACTAAGTTCACAAAAACTATATAGAACATTCATCTATAAAAAGCTCTTATATTTCTGTAGAAAAACCATGAGACATGAAGAAACCGTAAGACATGTAACAAAATAAAAACACGGCTTATCAAGGGGCAATTTTTGTTTGGCTACTCTGCACTTTAGGTTTCCGCACTGAAATACCTTTAAAATTCAATTATTTTAAAGTCTGATAGTGAAAGTCATTTTGGAATGCTGTGTCGATGCTAGGCTCGCTGAGCTTGCTAACCGTGCAGTGGCTGCATAAAAGAAAACCCTTCCTCTAGGAGGCGCGCGGGAGTCAAGACTCCAAGTGCGTAACTGACCGCTAAGTGTTTCCCTCCCAAAAGGCTGCAGAGCGAAAGGTAGGAGGGAGGCGAGAGGATATGGAGAGGGGAGGAGGGGGAGAGGGAGAAGAGCAGACGGAGGCGAGAACACCAGTGCACGCGTGCACACGGGGGGTGAGTGCATGCCGCGAGGGGTGCACGCATGCACACGTGGGGTGCACACGTGGGGTGCACGCATGCCGTGAGGGTGCGTGCATGCACACGTGGGGTGCACAC